CTTCTAACACACAGCACATTCTCGCATATAGGAAACTTTTTTTAGTGGTGAAATTCTGAATGAATATATCAGTTTAATTTACACTGAAAATAGAAGTTGTAATTCCCCTAACTCACTCTTTGATTAATTTAGTAGCAGTTGGTTCTTTTTTGTTATTTAATGCTTTACAGTTTGTTTAAATACACAGTAACCCTTACTCAGAGTTGACACTGAATGTTTGCAGTAATACTGTAAAACCACCTGGTTGATAACAGCATCCTAGAAAGAAAAAAACCTCTTGCTAGCCCTGATAAGGAGAGAAGTTTTTTATTTCAGAGGTTTTGTCACTGCTTCTCACCATACATCTATTTTAATTTGCAATAAATTAAACTAATTTTCTCTGACTTCAGTCTATTTCACTTGGTAGTTGGCAACTCACGTCCTCATCTTTATTTCAACCCACAACCTTTTTATTCCTACTTTCCCCCCGTCTTCTTTTGAGGCAGGGATGTGAGAGAGCTGCTGGATTGTCAGTTGAAGCTGACTCACCACATGTAATAGGCACAATCACTCAAATTTTTGCAATGAGAAATTTTCTTCACTATTCTGAAATGAAATCTTAGGCTTCAGCATCAAATTTCCTTCACTATCTTCTTCAGTAATACCAAAAGGATCTACTGTTCTTGTTAGAGACCCTAACTCTCTGAAAATGATACAATACAAAACACATGCAGCCACATGGCACTTTTTTTCCCCAAGAAAAGTAACCTTTTTTTTTGTTTAGCTAGCAAAATATACACTTTGAAAGTTCTTAATGTTGGACTAGAAAGGCAAAAATGTACTTTGTGTCAGTGCTGGCCCACTTTCCACTTCTCCTACGCTGGTTACAGAGTTCTCATTATTTCCTGACCTCTCAGTTATTTTTTTCCAGTTTCACTCATGTTGGATTTTTGTATTTGTCTTTTAAAGCCCGGTCCTTGGGTACATTCTCCAGTCATATGTAAACAATTCTGACTAGTTCACTCAAACAAATCCAGACATGCCTACATGTTCAAAATCTATATATTTTTTCTGCTTTTTATGGTGTATTTATGCAATATTGACTTGCAAAAAGAATTGCCCCTCAGTGCTTGCATCAAAGCCCTCTGCTCCTTTATTTGTGCCTATACAGAGTTTAGTGTGATAATGCAGCAGAGTCACTAAAGCAACCCTGACTTAGAAACACGTCCCTCTTTTTCTTTTTTTCCCCCCCAAGTATCAGAAAAAGACAATTTTCATCCTCAATAAAATTAATCCTCTTACTTCTAGGAGATCATTGTTAAAAGTAAGCATAATGACAAATTGAAGACATATTATTTTTCATTTAAATATAAAAAAAAGCCTGTACTGCTATTAAGAATAAAAGGAGACAGAATCCAGGACTAAGAGGTATAGTAGTAAAGACGCATGCTGGTCACAATGTCTCATTTCTGATATTATAGTTATTCCACACTTGAAATCCACCTTACATCTAGACATGGTTTTCCTTAATCTTTTTGTGCAAGCAGTAACATCTGCAAAAGCCTACCAAGAAAATCCTACTGCAAATTTCTTTTTACAGCCCTAATTTCCTGATGATTTTGAAATGCTAGTGTAATTGAGAAGGGGTTGGAGTATTATGTGTACTTTTCACTGCAAAACACTAATACTTCCAAAGTCAGAATGAAAGGGTATTTATGACATAAAAGTTACAGCCAGATGCTGCTGTCACTATCTCAAAATATAATCAGACTGCATGAAATGGATTATTATGGCCTCTGTGGTGCATAGTTTTATACTATTAAGAGTAACGTAGAAATAATGGAAAATGATGTTGATGGGATCTGTTCTTGATTGTGCACAACAAGGCAGCCAGGAATGCTTAAGGAAACCCAAACAACAATAAAAGTAAATTAAAGATCTAGTTGCAGGCCACAGATGACTCTTATTTCTCATACCACATTTTAAGTAAAAATTTGGCAGGTTAGTAAACTTACTTAGCATCTTTAATGATCTTCTGAATATGATTGCTATGATGAAACAGACTTAACTGAAAAAAAAACCTATCAGTCTGTTAAACTGTATAAGGTAGTGTAATTGAATTGATTAAGCTGAACTGGATAAAAAATTTTAATACTTCTTAGGAGGTGCTTATAGGTAGATACATAAACAAATATGTCCTAAACAAAGCTGGACAGGATGAAAGGATAGATGAATAAAGTGTAATATTTGTATTAGCCAGGTTGCTAATTTTCAAATGCTGAAGAGTGTTACACAGAAAGAATTGAAGAAAGGAATTTACAGTATGATCACTTTTAAGCCACAGGCATCAGTGTATAAAAACCATCTACACAGTCGTTACATCTGCATAATATGCATCAATCAGGATATAGATAATTATAAATGGATAAAACATGAATAGAATTTTTTGCTTATACAGTAGAACTAGAGTAAAAACTCAATGAAACTACTATTCGCCCATTTTTTCTACCAAAATAATTTTAAAAAGAGAGTAAGGGAATTATTTTAAATTTGAAAACCCTTTACTTGTAGCTGCAGTTATATACCAAAACAAGAGCAAAATATGCTTTGTGCAATTTGTCTTAGAACTTTGGAGACATTTCTAGCTTGATTCTTAAAGGACATTTTCAACATTCACATGGTCTACAACCTATTACAATTTCTTACAGGAGGCATGTAAGCATTGTCAGGTTCAGTGCAACACTACTGATTTGTTACATGGCTGCTTGCTTTGTTCAAGGGATCAGCTTGGTTTTTTAGTTTACATATGCTGTTGTTGTACCACTCATGTTTCCCAGATATACTTCACTGTTTCACTGTTAACACTGAAGAACTTAACCGAAAGCAAGTTTTAAACAGATGTTTTTAATTGCAGCTAAATCCATATTCTACTTCACTATAGCGATCAGAAGTTTTGCCTATCTTACTGAGGAAAAACCCACAGCAATTCAGCCCAAACCAAGAGCTTCTTCTAGATTTTGCAGCAATCCATGGAAACAGAGTCTTGAGACATATTGTCTACATTTCATTGTTACATTTTTTCTGAGAGATTCAAATCTCAAAGCACTCAGAGATCACACAAGTCTTGTCCTAGCCTGACACTGCAAGTGGCACCTTCAGGACAATCCTGTGTCCCACTGCATCTTTTACTGTCTCCCATACCCTCCAAACATTTGTTCTCCCCCAGGAAAAAGGTGCATTTAGGGTGGCTGATAGGCTCCTGTCTTCAAGGAGCGCAGTTGCAACCCCAGATACTGAGAAAGAGGTGTTTGTGTGTGGCTGCTTATTGCTGGCTTTCACTGTTCCTGCTCTAAAATTAATTTCAACTTCTACAGGAGAAAGAAGCTTGACAGTCAGGGCTGACTTTTGGCTACACCTTATTTAGGCTATTTATATATTTATTTATTTAGGCTAGAGAAGGAATTTCTTGGGTATAACATAGATGAGCAAATGTAAGAGACAGAAGGAATGCAGGACAATGTGGACTTCATGGCAGCAGAGGAAAAAGAGTCCTCCACAGCATGTTTAACTTGCCTTTCCAAGTTTGCCACAGTAAAAACCTACTTGGCAGGAGTTAAGTGAGTTTATATGTAAATTGCAGAGACCCATAGTTGCAAGGTAGATATTGAAATTCTTCTTGCATGGGTAAATCTATGAATTTTCCATGCACAGGTTCTGTATTGACATTTATGTTCTGGCCAGCCTGATAGAGGCAAATAAACCTACTGAAAGAAGACAGGTGAATTCCAGCGTTATGTCTTACAGAAATAACCAAGTGTTTAGAAAATTTCTGCAGCAGGGCTCAGCACCTGATGTCTCTGCTTCTGGATCTATTCCAGAACACCAGTTCTGCTGTGGTTTGAGAACACATTGCCAACATGACTGAGGCTTTCCGCATACCTGGCATAATTTAAATATACTGCATAATATCTCTGAGGGACTTGTGGTGTACCCAAAGGTGATTGGGAGGGGAATCTAGCAGTAATTATCATTCATGACCACAGAGAACATAATCATGGCTATGGTGTAAGTACAGAGCACTTGGCTCTGTGTTGTGAGATATTTTTCCTTTCCCAGAAGTCAAGTGGTATTCTAAGACACGAAGTGATGATAATGACTTCATTGTCCATGTCTATTTTGGTGCCACCCAAAGAAGGAGGAGACAGAAAACAAGAGCAAGATCTACATCACTTGCCCTGGATGCCAGATTATCTTTCAATCTCACAGTCTGCATCTGAAAGGTTTAAGAGATATGGCTCATCTGCATGTGTGCAAAATGGAGGACATGAACCTGATCTTCAAGAACTTCAGGGACAGAAAAGCACTGCTTAACACCTGACAGAAATCCTGGATAGCCTCCAGGTTTGGAATCCACACAACTCTAAAATCAACTAGGAACATATCAAAGCTGCTAGGACGATCATGTAAAACCTGCCTTGGGGCTGAATATATCTATGGGTGATTTTTGACATTGAACAATCTGAAACTGGATACCAAACATGCTATTGGGGCCTTAAAGGAAAAAAATTATGAAACTCCCCACCAAACTTAGGCACTCCTCAAAATTGCTCTAATTAATCTGCACAAAGTGCAGAGTGGTAATCTTTTATCAGAAGTCATATAAATTTATGGATAAATACAATCCTTAATCCATATATCTGAAGTTTTCAAATTATAGTTTTGGATCTTTTTATTCCAAAATAAAATTTAAAAATCCCATGCTAATTCCTTAACTTCTCTTTTTGTTAAATTTCAGACATTCTGTCAAATAAAGAATGGAGCTAATTTTCACATTACGGTATTTGAAATAATCAAAACTTGTACATAAAATTATTATTGCTCTCTTCAGCTTACAGTTTACTTTATTGGAAGTCTTAGCAATGCATTGACTTTTTTCTTTTAGAAACTAGAATCTCCTCCCATATATTTGAATTCTGTGATTTCATCAGCTAAAAGGTAAAATGAAATTAAGATGTACTCACTTATTTTGTTTCTCATTTCATTTAATTTCTCTCCAAGGCATTTAGCTTCATCAAACCTGTCAATGCAAGCATAATGACACAGAATTAATCTAAAGAACAACCAGTTACAGAAGTTTATCACAATAAAATACAGAATTACTCAGTACTACCTTTTCATTTGTAAGTAGAACTAATTGGAAACAATTTTCCATTAGGAGAGATTGTCTGGTCTAAGAGAAACCCACTGGAAGAGCCTTGATCTAGATAAAGTAACTGAAGAAATCCACAGATTATACTTCTGTCTAACTCAAAAAATGTCAAAATAGAGTAAACAAATATGGCTTCTCCCTACAAAGGTAGGATGTGAAAAATTCCCCCTTCTCAATTAGCCCATTTCTTCACAAGATTGGAACAAGTTAGAATTTCAAGTGCCTATGTTGGTATCTGCTCACAAACATTTCCTTTCAATGCTGAATTCCACAAGGCTAAATGGCTGAAGCTGGAGTGTTCCTGAGCACTTACTCTTTCTTACATAAAAAAGGTTGGAGCCACTGAAGCTTCTGCTAGTCTTTAGAAAAGCTTTTTCTACTGGGGTTAACCTAGAGCCCTGAGCAAGCAATAAGGATTGCATAAATATCAAAGGGAAGAAGCTCTGAAATACCTCTCTCCTGCTTTCTCTCAGGTCCCATAGTAAGTTCATCAATTACTTATTACTTTTTAATTCCTGAGAAAAATTTCATTCTGGCTATTGACTCTGATCCATGTTCACAGAGAGATTTATCTGGAAAAGTTGAAGCCAGCTATTTATCCAGCCTTTATTCATAGGTTACTGCCAATAGGTTGTGCATCTGTTTTTCAAACACCATTATAAACCAGCACAATAACATAAACTGAAATTTGGCATTAATTTATGACATTTCAACAGATTCCATCTGTGACTATGAATCCTAGTCAAACAAAATAAGTCAGGTAAATACACAAGACTTGACTCTGATATTGAATGGGAAAAAGCTATATCCAATGCTTCTTTAATAAAAAAGGGTGGCATTATCTAGCATTAAGGTGATATTGCTATGAATAGAGATGAGTGAACAATTATATTGTTATATTGTTAGCTGAAAAAAATCCTTGTATACCTTACATGGAAACCACTCAACAGAAAGGCTGAAATTACCAAATCATGGCTTCTATTACCTACAAGATAAATACTCCATTATGAAACCTCAGAGTGAATTTAGACACTAATTTTAATGGAAAAAGCATTTTTGGCAAAGATTTCACTCTTTGAATGGAAATGCCAGTAATTAAAATATAAACATATTGGAAAAAAATCTCAAAGTCATTATGTAAACCAAGACAAACTCAGAGGCTGTCTAATGAGAGAGACATTCCGTGAATTAAATAAATATTCATTTGTTTTTAATTATTAGAAATTACAACAAGTTACCAAAGTGAAACTCATCCTTTCCACGAAACTTGCCCATAGGTATTGACAAAACAAGTTAGCTGTTAACCAGCTAAAAAAAACCAGAAAGTAAGGAAAGAAGAAAATGGAAAAAAATAATGGAGAACAACCAAAAGGAAATTAGATCTACATCACATTTGTAAGCTCAGTAGAATTTTACTACTGGAAATACTGACTAAGATGGGATTTAGAAGCTTTGTGCAGTATGCAATATTACATTGGAGTGGCACATCTCGAAAGACTGCTTGGTAGCATATTTCAACAGAAAATGGGATGCATTTTTCTCCTCCTCAGAGAAACAATTGTAAGAGAACACGATTGCATTAAGAAATAGGACATTATTAAGTTCTCTGGAAGTCAAATATAGAAAGTCCAAATTGCAGAAATCCTATTCTGTCTGGGTATAAACACAGGGTGGTTTCGCTTAAGCAGGGAAGCAGTTATTAATGTATGGAAGAAAAATGAAAAAGAATTGCTGTAAAGCTGTAGAAGATCACATTTTCTATCTTACAAAGGCACTTCCTGTAGGCAACTTAAATTGAAGGCAAATTCAATCACTTTTGTTTCACTTGAATTATCTTTGACTATATCAGTTTTCCCACCTTTTAAATTCTGAGACATTACAGAGTTACAGTATAAGCTACTGCACTTGTGAAGAGCTTTGATGTAGTAGGTAAAAAGCTTTATTCAAAACCAGATTTTTTTACTTTTATATATATATATTTTTTAACAGAACAAATGTTTTTCAATATTTGATTTAATTAGCTGACTTCTTTTGATCATTTTTACACCACTAGTTACAGAAAAAATAATCTATATTTTATAGGTATGACTATGTATAGTCACATCTATATTAATAATTTCACAGCCAAAGTTGAGATCTTCACATTGAAACTTCCAAGTAGGCTCACTGACAGCTCACCATTCAATTAATATAAGAATGATATAATCCACAATTGGTGGCTTACTGAGATGTGCCAGGGGCTCCTGAGGCAATAGGATCCAACAGGGGAACACCAAGGAAATACTTCAGAGGAATTAAAGTGTGTTCTCCTAAGAAGATGGTGCGAGATGAAGAGATATTTAAAGGGAGATTATAAGAAAGATGGGGACAAATGTTTTAGCAGGGACTGTTGTGATGGGACAAGAGGTAGTGCTTTAAGGTAGATTTAGACTAGATGTAAGAGAGAAATTTTTTACAATGAGAGGAGTAAAACACTGGAACAGATTGTTCAGAGAAGCGGTGGATGCCCCATCCCCAGAAACATTCAAAAGCAATCTTGACTTTGCTCTGAGCAGCTTGATCTAGTTGAAGATGCCCTCGCTTATTGCAGCAGGGTTTGACTAGATGACTGTTAAGAATTGCTTCCAACTCAGCCTATTCTCTGAGTCTATGATAATTAGCAAGCCAAGAAAATCTACCCAAAATACCCAAAGGAAAAAATAAGACAGCTAAAAATAAGTAATTTGTGAACCAAACACTGTTTGTGGTATGACAGAAGTGGTTATGCAACTATAAACAAAATTATTAACAAGAGAAGCCTACATATAAAGGGAAGCTATGGTAACCTTTAAACATGTGGTGTCCACACTCCTCTTCCTGTGCAATTTGAACACTGGCTGGGTAACAGAGTTTTTGTGTAACTAGTAGTTCAGAGGCTGCGTTCCAAATTACAGACTGGATTTGATACAAATCCATTCTAATGAACTTGGTAAACTTGGAGCTATAAGTATCTTTGCTTAAAATGACTGCAAATGGCAGGGGAAAGTGCCTTGTTCCAAAGTATCAAATTCACATTAGCACTGATTTCAGCAATCAGCTGATGCCTATTAGAGAGGGGTTATACAAGGCATTAGTATGAATCTCTTTGTCCTTTAAGGAAAGCAAATCTGTCATCAAATTTAGTAAATTCTGCTCATCTCTATTATATATTCTGAAACCAGAAGGAAATACTTGTTTGCTTCATAGTAATAACATACAGAAAAAATATGGAAGAATTGTGATTAACTAGAGGAAGGGAAGAGCATGACTCAGAACTGTATTGTTCTCATTATCATGCTGTAACTATTAAGTGTTCTGCTGAATAGCAACACCAGAAAGGACTGCAGTGTAATCATTTATGCAGTGATCATGCGGTGATGTGGCGTGATCAGATAAATTGATTAGAAGAAAGGCATTGCTAAATATCCAGTTTACATGGATAAATGTTTACATACATCTAATACCTTAGCAATTTATGTTCCTGTGGCCAAGGTATAGATCCAGGCAAAAAGTTAATCAGTTGAGAAAAGTGACAAATAGCAAGAACTTGGGTAAGTCACAGAGATATGGAGATAATTTCTTGCCTCAATATTACTGAAATAAATGAGTATAAGACTTAGTGACCCTGAAAAAAAGTCTTTCATGCCTATGAAATAGTGGTTTATTCTGTGAGGTTTAAAATCTGTATGAAAATTCATGTTTTCAAGGTTTTGCCATTATCACTATTTTCACCAGACGCATGAATTGTTTTGCCAACATTAACAACAAATGTGGAGGAGGAAAGTATTATTTCTGTTTGTGAATGCAAAACTGGCAGAGAGAAGTTAAAATGACTTGGCAAACAGGTTAGGGACACCAGACATGCATATGTTAAGCATCTCCTAGCTTACTATCCAATTCAGTGCTGAAGCCAGTAAAGCATTTTTGACAATGGAAATTGCAGTAATTGATTCAGTCCCATGGATTTTACTTCCTCTAGATAATTCTTGATCATGAATGCCATTGCCACGTTGCTTCAACATGGCTGTGAGGATGAATAAAAGCAGTGGAAATATGCAACTAAGATTCCTCACGCTATTTTCATTTCTATCCAGACTTCTCTATCACCACTCAGTGCTTTCTGAATATGAAATCTCTTCAGTAAGAAAAGGTGAAGTGCCTGTAATAAGTCCTCAACAGAAGCCTGGGATGTCTGGTGTAAAATTACGTGTTCCTGATCATACTGTAATGAACTCTCAGATGTCTTCTCCCAGCTGTATTTTGCTGTGACACTCACCTCTGCTTCAGAAGCTGTTTGTTGTCCTCAATAGTTATACTGTCAGCATGGTCCCGCTTGAAAACTTCAAAAGCTTCCTGGCGTCCAAGTGACATCTTTCCTCCTGCCCCAAGGAAAAAAA